TTCTGGGAAGAGGGCAGTTAAGAGGAAAGCACCATGAGATGGGGACAGGCAGGGTCCCTGGTGCATAACTAACACTGAGCGTGTTAATTACAAGGACACAAGGAAGTAATTTCCTAGAGGTGGCTGCAGTGACCATGACGATGATGGTGATGGTTTGCTGAGTAAAATAATGTGTCAGGTGCAGTGCTATTACAGACACCATTTGATATACATTTTATGTAATATACACATCATATATATATATGTATATATATATATATATATATTAAACTTTTTAAGCTCCATAATAATTCACATGGCAGCGGCAAGTAGCTCTGCTTTAAAGAGGAAACCAAGGTTCAGAGAGGCAGTTAACTGCCCAAAGGCACAAGGCTAATACTGTTGGAGCAAGAAGAATCAGAGAGCTTGGCTCTTACTTGGGGAGTCCTGCATGCAGAAGTTGATCCACACTCCCGCCACCTTTTTGATTTAAAGCAATGTGGGGGAGGGCTAAGGCCAAGGCAGTTCTGCTGGTGAGAGGCAGAGCTGTGGCTTGGGGCCCAGGATGGTGAGTGGAACACTTAGCTGGCAATGAGGTGCCCTGTCTAGATGCCTCTGCTCTGTGAACTGAATCCCCATGAGAAGAGGGCTTCCTATCTCCTGGGACAGCTGAAGGGCCACAAAATAATTTGGATTACTGTTTTGTGAGTGCATGCATGTATGTGTAGGTTTGTGTGTGTAGGTGTGTGTCTATGCGTGTATATGTAGGTGTGTGTGTATGTGTGTCTGTATGTGTAGGTATATTTATGTGTGTGTATATATGTGCATGTATGTGTAGGTGTATGTGTGTGTATGTGTAGGTGTGTATATGTGTGTGTAAGTGTAGGTGTGTATATGTGTAGGTGTGTATATGTGTGTGTATGTGTGGGTGTGTATGTGTACATGTGTAGGTATGTTCATGTGTATATGTGTAGGTGTGTGTGGGGGGGTATTTGTGTGTGTGTGTGTTTGTGTGTGTAGGCTGGAGGGCAATGTCTGACATCTACCTCCGTCACACTCCACTTTATCTTTGAGTCACAGTCTCTCACTGCACCCAGGGCTCACTGATTGAGCTTGACTGTTTGGCCAGTGAGTTTCATGAACTCTCCTATTCGTCTCCAGTATAGGGGCTTCATTTTAGATTCTTAGTGTCAGGGTCGAAGGACTATCTCTCCTCCCCCCTTACCTCTTCATTCTACTCTGTCATCTTTTTCCCTGACACTGGCCCATCCAAAACTTCCTTGATCTCATTCTCTGTGGAGTGAGAACCAAGAGAGGGTGTCTGTAGCCTTTGTCTAACCTTCCTAAAATATGTGGCAGTCCCTACTCAGAAGCCCGCCACGGCTCCTGGCACCTACAGAGTGAAGGGCAGCCACCTGTACAGTGAAGTCATCTGCTGCACAACTTTCTCTACTTCCTAGGCTGCAGCAGCTTCCAGCCCACCCAAACACTGTTCTTCCACTTCATACCTGAGAAACCAGACGCTCTACTTGCTAATTCTACAGCTATTCACCTCTCCTGCCTTCCAAGCAGAAGCCCGTCTTGCTTATGGCGGTAAAGTGCCTGCCTAAATACGTGATCATCTCTCCCTGGTACGTTTGGCTCACCACACAGCCAAGCTCTGATGGTGAGGCTGGGACTTGGGGGTGGGGGAGACATAGCAGTCTCCTTAAACCTCAGTCCTAAGACCCACATGCTAAAGGTGGCAGAACGAAAAACCATAGTTTGGGTTCCCAATGATACAGTTAAGGCATCATGCCTTCCCCACAAAAGTGTCCCAGCTGGATAAATCACATGGCCTTCAGAATTTCTGTCGCTAGCAGAGGAATCAATGGTATCCTATGCATCCTCACCCGGGCTTTGTTCTTTCTCATTCATGGGTCAGTTTAGAAGCCAGCCCCTTCAGGAGATTCCCCATAAGCCCCCCCCCCCCAGAGCAGCAGCATCACACCCTCCAGTGTGCGTCCACAATAGCTGCTTTCCTCAATTGTAGCACTTACTTAATTCTGCTTGATTGGGCCTAATGAACACTCCTACTGTCTGTTCAAATCCTAGAGGGTGGGGGGCCTTTATCCCACCAGCATCTCCATTAGCGTGGAGCAAAGCTTTGTGCTGAGGCCAGGGGCTCTGGCCCCCAGCAGCCTTACAGTGTCTGGCGTGGCGCACTCACTGCAGCAGAGGGAGTGGGTACCCAGAGTGCGGGCGCTGACTCTACACTCGTGAGCTAGCTGGTCAACAAGTGTGTTGACCTCTCCAGGCTTGCACTTCTTCATCTATAGAGAACGAGAGCCTCTATCTCCCCTGGCTGTCATGAAGACAAAATAGTCTAATCATAAGCTCTTAGGAGAGTGCCTGGCATATAAAAGTGCTTGACGATTGGGCTCCTATTAGTAGCCGGAATGTTATAGCTGTTGAACGAATAAATACATCAACACTTAGTCGCCAAATAGATGCATAAACAAACGAACTCCAGATGAGTGCAGACCCAGGGCAGTACTTATTGCTGCCAGTCCTGCCTGTACTTGACCCTGGGATTTGTCATCATAGTGACCTCCTGCATCAGAGATGAGTGCTGTGATGTCAGCCTGGCCAGGCCTCCAACAGACTCTGCAAGGCACCCTGTGGGAGGGCCGAGCATTTCCCACCTCTGTGGGCCCTCACTTTCCTCAACCAGTATCTGCAGACAGTAGCACTTGATGGCTTGTGGGGTAATGGTGAGGATTACATGATAAAGCATGGCCATTCAGCAGGCCTAGATACTATGATAGCAAGTGCTAGCAACACTTACCAAACACCAACATGATTTTTTTTTTCATTGTTGTTAAAGGCACAGTGTCCCAGGAACCACCACCGGATGACACCATTATGCAAGCCAAGATCCTCTGTTTTAAACTTGGGAATCCAATGTTTTCAGTTTATGTGACCCCCCCCCCACCAATGCTGAGTCACTGGTTTACCCTAAAACTTTGGCTTTCTGAATTTTCCCCTTATGTGCCATTATCTGCAGGTGAATACTTAGCTGACATCAAACAGTACCAGAAAGCAAGGTGCAAATTCACAGAAGAGCGAAGGAGCCAAGTATTCAACAGTAACGATATTTCCACATACCACAGGTTTGATTACTCTCAGGGACACATTTTAATCTTATCCTTAGATTCCCCCTTGGTCTCAAAAGAACCTGTGTAAACAAACAGCTTTATGTAACTTTCACTTTAAACTTAAACCTTCCTTTATGTTGGTCTCACGAAGCCACTTGACGGCTCCATTAGTCTATTTTTACTATCAACCAGGCCATTTAACCAGATATTTATTCCACTTGGCCGCCATCCAAATGCTTTTTGACATTACTGCCCTGGGCCTGAACTGCTTAAACTCGAGGCCCTTCTAAACAGAAAATCACCTTTTGACTTTAAGTCTCTGAGCCAGCGCTCTGACGCTCACCCTCTTTTCTTCCATGGGGTTAATTTCTGCTCTAGAGAAGCCAGCACAAGAGAGTGTTTTAAGAGGCTTGTTGTGGGAAGTCCAAGCAGCTTAGGGGTCACATGGAGGCACTCTGGTCTCCCAAGTCCTGCTTCAAAACAGGGCTGGCTTCAGATCGAAGGAACTGCTTACTTCCAGAAAGAGATCAAGAGAGCAGTGAATGGACAACTGGGGACTCTAAGGACAGTGATGCCAGGGGCCCCAGTTGAGGAGTGACTCTGGACAGGGAGGGGTGCTCCCTCCTCCTCCTTCCCGCCCCCAACAAAAGGCCATTGCGCGGAACCGTGGAACCCACTGGCTTTGAAGCCAATCAGTCAGGTGGAAGCCTGGGCAAATCACGACTTGGCTACTGAGACAGGTCTTCCCAACCCACCCTGTTTGATAAGCCCTCTCCACGCTCCTCCACAGCCTCCCGAGCTCAGCACAGCCAGGAGGCCAAAGGAACGTTCCTGTGATGCTCCTGCTTTCCAACTTTCCGAGCTCCTTGGTCTTCGCAGCCTCCTGCAAAGCTGCTATGGAAAGGGCAAGTTTGCAGAGCCCAGGATCCCAAGTACTGGGGAAGCCACAAAGACGCTCCAACGCCAGCAATGATTAACCGCTTGTGGGACAGACTGGAAAACGCCACGGCCACTCAGGCGGGAGAGCCGAGCTCAGGCTGGCCCGGGCGGGCCGGGGGCAGCAGGGCCTCCCCGGGGGCCGCGCTCCCCACGCATCCCCCTCCCCGCGCACCTGAGCGGGGCGTGGGCACAGCGCCGCGCTCAGGCCCTGCCCGCAGGTCGCTCGCCCGCCGCCCGCGCCGCGCGCCGGCCGCCTGCAGCCACCGGGAGCGACGCGAGGAGAGGCAGCCTCAACACGGCGTCATGCTTCCTGCCACCACATTACGGCGAATCGTCACCGGGAGAGGAGAGCAGAGGGGAGAGCGGGGGAGGGAGGGGAGCAGCCACACGCAGCCCCCCAGGCTGCCAAAAAGCGCCGAGACGGGGCCACGTCCCGGTGGAGTCCCCGCGGGACCTGCCCCGTTCGCACAAAGCGCCGCAGTTTGGCCAAGGAGGCAGGGAGCCGGCCACAAAATAAATAAATAAAAAACAGAGTCGGGTCTACGTAACGCCCTGTCGAAAGCGGACGCCATATTTTTTTGTGGCTTATGTCGACATAGGGAAACGTAGACATGTTTTTCCTCCTCCTCCTCGGTCTGGCTTCCATTTATCCAAACTTGTAATCAAAACTATTTCATAAAAAAAAAAAATCTCCTCCCCCCTCCGCCCCACACCCCGTATCCGCGGATTTCCTCCCACCCCGCAAAAAAAAAAAAAAGCCTGCACCCCCCACCCCACTCCCGCGCACCCCTCGTTCCTAAGCCGGCCAAGTCCCATTAACAACACAATTTCAGGAGCCGCGGCGGCGGTGGGAAAGTTGGGCTGGAGTAGCGGGCGCCCGGCGTGTCGGGCTCCGGGCTGGCGGTGCCCGCTGCGGGTGCTCCGCGCAGGGGCGAAGTTTCTTACCTGCGCCGGGGCTGGGAACGCGGGGACCCGGACTGGGAACGCGGAGACGAGGCACGGGCGTTCCAAAATGGAACTCTGCTGGCTCCCCCCACCCACTCCCCACTCCCCACCCGGCACCCGACTCGGGCTCCGTGGGAAAGACGTGGTGGTGGCGGGGAAAGCCAGCCTGGCAGACAGACAGACAGACAGAAAAAGCCCCCGTATGGAGAACGGTTGGACGAAAATTTTTAAATGAAAAAAAAAAATGAAAAGAAAAAGAAAAGAAAAGAAAAAAGAAAAAAAAAAAAAGGAAAAAAAAAGGGGGAAAAATGCCTCGATCAGTGGGGAATCTACGCCAAAACCCACATGATCTGTAACGTCAGCATGCGTATTTGCATACGATACCACCACCGGAGCTGCCACCCGGGCTCGGGTTCCGCAGAAAGTTACAAAGTGAAATTCAGGCCCCTCGGCAGACGCCGGCAAAATGTCATTTTTAGGAGGGAGCTGCGGGTGGGGGAAGGCTGGCCCTAAAGGCTCTGATGAGTGGCCAAGCGGGATGGGGGGGGGGGGTGCCGTAAATGAACTTAAAAGTCCGAGTCCAGTAACGGACTCGATGGAATTTTTGCGGGAAGAGATGGGGGAGGCGCAAGCGAGATCACTGAATATTGAGCACAACCCGGCGCGCGGCCGCGGTCAAACCCTCCCGGTGCAATACCCATTTTCTTTATGAAAAGTTCAAGGTGTCACTGATGAGCTCAACAAACTGTTGATCCTCGCTCACCACGTGGAGTGGAGGACCGTGGGACCGCAGGGCGCTATGGCTTGCCGGGCGCCGGCAACACCCGGGACTCTGTGTCCTCCTGCGGTGCGTGGGGGGCAGAAAGCCGGTAGGGTCCTCACGCGCCCTGCACTTTGTCTGCTTTTTCTCCCGCCTTCCGGCTCAAGAAATTAATAACATACAAAAAAAAAAACAAACAAAAAAACAAAACCTTAAAAAAAGATGCATTTTACTCCCGTAATAGTAATGAGAGGGCTTGGGAGGAGGGCGGGGAAGAGGGCGCCCACTTTATATAACCACTTGAAGTCAGATTACTTTTGTTGGGGATTTCCACTCGCGCCTGGGCTCAGTCTGGTTAAAGATCTTCAAACTTTTTCCCTCCGAACCCATAAACAAACAGACTCGGGGGAGATGACTTAAACTTGTCTAGCCCAAGTTCGAGGGGACTCTCAGACTCAGAGAAACGCAACACGCCTGCTGCGCGCACCCTGCGGTCCCTCGGAAGTGAGACGGGTCGCTTTGGGAGCTGGGACAGCCGCGTTCGCCGCGGGAGGGGTCTCCAAACGCGACCTCCTCCTGTGCTTCCTAGCACCCGCGGGTGCGATGGTGTGTGTGTGTGTGTGTGTGTGTGTGTGTGTGTGTGTGTGTGCGTGCTTTCTCTGCAGCCTTTGGAACCATGAACTTGAGACTCGGCTGCAGTACTGAGGCCACAGGCAGGGTTAAAAGGCTTTCTGGGAGCATCGAGGGGCGCTGAGGCCCTCCGGCAGCAACCTGCCTGCGCTGCGCATTCCTGCCCTCTAGGACCCCGTGTTCCTTTGGCAGACTCTGGGGCGCTTCGGAATTTTTTGGGTGTGGGCACTCTGGAGGCCACCGTGGGCTAGGATCCCATATGTGACACTCGTAGTTATTCGAAGAAAAAGAGGGTCTGGGGCTTGGAGACTGCGGAGTCGCCTCCCACCCTGCGGATTAGCAGGCACGTTGCGTCGCGGCTGCCCAGCCAGCTCTGCTCCGGGGAATTAGAACGAACTCTAGCGGCCGCTTGCGACTCCGCTCCGGGCTCCAGCAAAGCAACAGGTGGCGGTGTGCGGCGGGGTGGCCAAGGAGACGACCCAGGCTAGAGTGGAACACTGGCTTTGGGGGTTGACGGGTGGCCAAGGCTCTGGGGAACCTCTTTTGGCATTTTACTTCTTTCGCAGACTGGAAAGAAGGAAGTAGTTAAAATACATAAATAAAGGTCGCCCCCAGGCCTCCCATTTTTCTGGTAACCTTTGTTTCTTCGGAAGTTTTTACTATTTAAGATTAAATTAGCTCACATGCAAACATTTCTTACTGCCTTGCCAGCTTTGGTTGGGCTATTGCTGACTGGGATGGGGGAGGAGACTTTGCTTTTTTCTTTTTCTGGTTAAGTAAAAAGGGCCCTAATTGGGATGCTGCCTGAACTGGCTTTCCTGCTCCTTCTCACTAGGGAGACAAAATCCACCCCACACCCCACTCCCTGGTTCTTAGCAGGATTCCGTTCAGAGCTTTGTTGGTGACTATTATCTGGATTATGTCCCTGTCATTCTTAGCCTCCTCGGATTCCGATGATCTAAGAGTCCTGCCAACATGCCTCCAACACCAGAATTCGGGGATGTTGTCTGAGCCGTGTAGGTTTTGTCCATTTGACACAAACTAGGATCCCCTAGGAAGAGGGAATCACGTCCACAAGATTGGCTCATGGCACTTCTACGGGGCCTGGATGTATGTGACAGGGCCCAGCAGAGTATGTAAGAGGCCACTCACTCCTGGTCTTGTGGTCCCTGACTGTCTAAGAAGCAAGCCAAGCAAGCCATCAGGAGCAAGCCAGAAAGCAGCTTCCCTCCCAGCTCTGCTTCCGTTTCTTTTTCCAGTGTTGTGCCTTGAGTTTCTGCCTTCCCTTCCCTTACTATAACCTATAAGTCAAATCAACCCTTTAATCCCTCAAATTGCTGTTGGTCATGTCGTTTACCACCACCACCACCACCACCAGAAGGATAACTAGAACACTGGCTTTTCTCCCTAAATTTAGGTGTTCCAGAATGGCAAAAGGACAAACAAACAAACACTAAAATTGTCAGCAGCTCGCCACTCTTACACAGCTTATCTTGTTATGCCCTTTCCAGGTCATTTTTACCAACACCCCCAGTCCTTTAAAATTAGGAATACTTTGTAGGCTGTTTCCATGGAAATTGCCTAAACCTTAAGGAAGCAATTCCTATTTTGAGGCTCCATTTCCTCTGGATGAGCAATTACTTAGGAAGCTTCTCTGTAAGCCAGGCTTCCATTGCCACCTGCTTCTGGCTGGGTAACAGGTTGTATATAGACAGCACGGGGAAGGCCAGAGTGAGGAACCCAGTGACCCTGGGAGGGCCTGTGTCTTCAGGCTGCAAATCTCAAAGATGCGAGGGCTTCAGGCTGCAAATCTCGAAGATGTGAGGGCTTCTGCACTGCGGTGTCTTTGAATGCTTCAAACTGTAACATGCAATGGATTCTCACTATTAAAAAACAACACAGCAAGAGGTTGGAGCCATGGATCAGTGGTTAAGAATACAGAGGGTGGGATCTAGTTCCTGGCACCCACATTGAGCAATTGACAACTGCCTGTAACTACTGCAGGAGATCTCTTCCCTTCATTCAGCCTTCCTCGCGCGTGCGCCTGTGTGTGTGTGTGTGTGTGTGTGTGTGTGTGTGTGCGCGCGCGCGTGCGCGCGCACGCGCACACACACACACACAGTGTTATCTTATTTAATTTATGATTTATTAAAGCTTGCCTGAGGATACAGAAAGCAAAATCTGTCACAAACCATGGAAGCCAGGGACACACCTTTAATCCCAGCAGCCACCTTTAATCCTGGGACTCAGGATTAAGAGGTAGACTGATCTCTGTTAGTTCAAGGCCACACTGACTACTCAAAATTGATCCTGTCCTAAAGAGATACAGCCCACACAAAAATGATCTCAGCACTTGGGATCACATCCCTTTAGTCCAGCATTAGGGAGGTATATACGACAGGAGCAGGGTCTCAGAGCTGGCATTCATTCTCCAGCCACATTGGGGATAGGAGACATTGAAGTCCTAGGAGTCTCCAGCCACACCGAGGAGAGCATAGCAGTCTGAGATTTGGTGGAGCCAGGATCGCCTTTCAGTCTGAGGTAGAGGTAATAGCTAGCGGCTCGCTGCTTTGCTTTTCTGGTCTTCAGCTTGAAGCTTGTCTCTGGGTCTTTTATTTATCGTGCTACACACACACACACACACACACACACACACACACACACACACACACAGAGAGAGAGAGAGAGAGAGAGAGAGAGAGCACAAAGAATAAAAGGAGGGTGACTTTTGTGTTAAATGTTACAATCCTATTTTGTTTCTATGGATGAGTAGACTTGAGTGTTGAAAGTAGTAACTCAGGGGTGATGCTTACTAGGCGCTTTGCCTGTGTATGCTGGTCACTACTAAATCCTTATAACAACTTGTGCTCAAAATGCTTCCTTTAGACTTTTAAAAGTCATTAAGGACTCACACAACTTGTATTTGTGTAGATTATACATATATGCTGACGGTCAACATATTTGAAATTAATTCTAAAAATGTCTTATTGCTACACATGGATTGCAAAACATAGTAGGTTTCATAGTAATATCTTCACACACACACACACACACACACACACACACACACACACACACACCATACTGTCTGCTATACACCTGTGAGAGAAAAAGAGTCAAAAGGTCAAGCAAGATTTGAGGCTCTCATGGAAAGAATTGTGACTTTGAGGAACTCATGATGGGCCCTGGGGGCCTCCAGGATCTCTGACCACATCTTATAAGCACTGTTGATAAGTTATGTGCCCATCCCCACCTCACAGATGAAGAAGCTCAGAGATCTGTGATAGCTTGCACAGACAAGTGGAAGAAAGGAGGCTTCACCAACCAGCTTCTTAGAACCCAGGGCCTAAGTCCTTAACCCTGCGCAACCTCACATCAGCAGGAGCAGCCTTGTACTTCTCAGTGCTATTTGCCTTAACAGCAGACTTACTAGGTGCCAGGCATCGGGGTTCCACTTGCATCATCTTACCAAGTCCTTAGATGCGGTGATATGTTATTTATGATTAATTAAAGCTTGCCTTCAGGATTCAGAAAGCAAAGTCAGCTCAAGCTATAGAGGTCAGGCAGTGGTGGTACACACTTTTAATTCCAAGACTCAGGAGACAGGCAGATGGATCTCTGAGTTCAAAGCCACCATGGCCTACACAGAGTGAAGAGTAGCAGAGCTCACGCTTTTGATCCCAACACCTGGGATCACACACCTTTAATTCTAGCATTAGGGAGATATGTAAAACAGGAGCAAGGTCTCAGAGCTGGCATTAAGTCTCTGGAGTCTGTAGCCACATGTTGAGGATAGCCCCTTTGGTCTGAGCTGAGGTAGAGAGGTAAGAACTAGTGGCCAGCTGGTTTGTTTCTCTGATCTTCAGCTTGAAGCTTGAACCCCAATGTCTGTGTCTGGGTCTTTTATTTTTCGTGATACACTTAGACTCCTATTGTTTGCAAGTACAGTTACCCCACCATATAGATACAATAAGTATCAATTCATGGAGGTTAAGAAGTGTTCCAGAGGCCAGGAGAGACAGCTCAGCAGTTCAGAACACTGGCTGCTCTCTCAGAGGATCCAGGTTAGATTTCCAGCACCCACATGACAGCTCACAACCCTCTGCAACTCCAGTTCCAGGGATCCAA